AAAAAAAAAAATGTCAGGAGGACAGAAAAAGAAAGCATTTCCAGGTGAGAGAGAGCTACCCAAGGAAGGCAGTGGGGGAGTGGGGAGGGAGATGATGATATAACCTATTTATTAGATTCTCCCTGTGTGCCAGAAGTTACGTATCTTGTCCCATCTCATCACGTTTCACCTTCTCAGCAGTCTTCTAACAAATTATTATCCACATTTTGTGGATAAAGTAATTGAAGTTCATAGTCTTTGGGAAATCTGTATTCATTTCCCAGAGCTTCCATAACGAACCATTGGCTTAAAACAGTTGTGTATTGTCTCCCAGTTATGGAGGCCGGAAGTTTGAAATCAAGTTCTCAGCAGGGGCCACGTTCCTTCTGAAGCCTCTAGGGGAGGACCTTCCTTGCCTCTTTCAGCTTCCGACTGATCGCTCCAGGCATTCCATTCCTTGGCTTGTGGCAGTGAAACTCCAATCTCTGCCTCTGTTTTCATGTGGCCATCGTCCTTCTGTGTCTGTCTGTGTCTTCACATGGTGTTCAATGTGTGCGTGTGTCCAATCTCCCTTTTCTTATAAGGACACGAGTCATTGGATGAGGGCCCACCCTAATGACCTCATCTTCATTTGATTACATCGGCAAAGACCCTGCTTCCAACTAAGGTCATGTTCATGGGTACTGGGGAATAGGACTTTGACGTATCTTTTTGGGGGACACAATTTGACCCATAACACTGCCCCAGATACAGTGGCTGTTGACGTGTGGAACTAGGTTCAAACTTAGGTGATGCCAGGGTCTCTCCCCTTGGCCTGTCAGCCAGGACACATACCATCTCACCGAATGCACAGGGGAAATTTTAAAGCAATGCCTTGAGAAAGGGGAGAAAAATCTTGCAACTATTCCGTACAAATTTATTTACAAGAGGACAAAACTTTGGGTTGGTCTCAGACATTTCCTCTGCAACAGTTAGATGCCAAATGACTCCACGGGGTTTTGAGGTGGAAAAAGTTATGGGCTAAGAACTTGATACTCAGCGATTTGTCTTTCAGTGCGACAGGCGGACGTTCTCAGAAACGCAAGGGCTCAGAAAATATTCCACTTGTTGAAAAACTATTTGAAGATACATTCCAGTGGCTCACAGGGTTTGGGATTATATAGACCACAAAACATTTCAAAAATAATTCAGAAACCAACACAGCATTGCCAACTTGTAACCTTGTAAAGGCGTTTAAAACAAATCAAACTACCATCTAGTGTACATAGAATTGCTCCATAAAAGATCGTTTTAATGCCAAAAATATTAAAAGGGTATAATCTGATAGCTATTTAAATTGAATAGTTTTGCTTTATGAAAAAGAAAATACTCATACGTGATCTATTTGACCCCAGAGTTAGTGAAGAACTTTTTTCACAGATAAGATCTCATTCATGAATGGGTGTTTGAAAAGCAGGAACTGACAGGAACACAGGGAAGGACATCAACTGAGTGCTGGCTAGCATTCGTGATTTATGCAACTGAGGGAAAAATATTATTTGAAACTGACCGTAATCATTTCCATTTTCTAAGGAAAGTTTCAGTGGGAAAATAAATCTTGGGAGCGCTACTCCCTTCCACATGCAGAGGATGGTGGAGGGTAGAGAAGGAGATAACTTGCTCCCTCACTCAACATCTGGGTTTCCACTTAGTTTTTCCAAGTTCTCATGAAAATATTCATGAAAGGACCACTAGTCTAAAATGATGGCTTGCACTCACACATTTAATTAATTCTCCCCCGCCCCCCAGATTTTCCATGAAAAGAACATGTGTGCATGTGAAATCAGGGGTTAGTGCCCACTTGGCTAGAATTTCTAAGAACTCCTGCCATTTAGAGTATATAGGTGAAACCAGATTGAGAAAAGAGCCCATCAGTCCATGATTCATGACACAGAAAGGGCGAGACTCACGTCCGGAGAACGAGGGGTGGGGGGCCACAAAGCAAAATTCAACCAATCCCTCCCTCCCCGGACTTAGAGCTAGAGGGCCCAGGAGCCAGGACAAACAATCTGGGAGTGAGTATCAGGTACAGACTCAGGGGCTGCTTGATGCATTCACTCACCTTTCTACTTGGCATGAGTTGCTTGGCTCAGGAAAGGAGGGCAGCAGCAAGAGGGGCTTAACACAGAGGAAGTGGGGTCTGCTGCCCCTGCAGCTTGGGCGAGTGTGAGCTAGAACTGCAATCTGGAAGAGAAGCTTTTAGGCACGGCAGTGAAGTTCCTACTTTATATCTGTCCCCTTCCTCACCGGCTAGGCGAATGGAGATCCTATCCCTATCCGGTAGAAATTAAAATTATATATAGAGCTACCCTATGACCCAGCAATTGCACTCCTGGATATTTACCCCAAAGACACAGATGTAGTGAAAAGAAGGGCCATATCCACCCCAATGTTCATAGCAGCAACGTCCGCAATAGCCAAACTGTGGAAGGAGCTGAGATGCCCTTCAACAGATGAATGGATAAAGAAGATGTGGTCCATATATACAATGGAATATTATTCAGCCATCAGAAAGGAT